AAATTCAGCTGCGGCTGCATTATGTTTAATTTGCCTAGGCGACGCTTTCAATAGGGGTGTTTAAGACAGCCAGCCACAGGTACAAACATTACCAGTGGTGGGCAGCGTGCCCTCAACTGGTGACAGTGGCGAACGCAGGAATAATTTCTAGGTGTGGCGGAGTGTATGAACAAAAAAAACCATGTATAATTCAACTATGGAAGTGCTCACTAGAATACTCGATAAATATTACTTGGTGTTCGACAAATAAAACCGAAATCAAAACTTAACTATTGGCACTCTAAATACCTCAGCTGATGAAGATTACATGGATGATTGAGTGCCAAAAAATCCATTTATATTACCTAGACCGGCATAAAAATGACCTATAAAACATAAACACCAGAGATAAATCATGAATTAGTAACTAGTAGGATATAATGATAGAAACAACATTATGCAAGTGAAGATAGTTAGAAAGAATACATACCCATAATGAAGATTTACTCTCATTAAGTAGAACGTGGCAATGGCATTCTTCTACCTTCATGTTGAAATTCTTTCTTAATTTCAGCAAGATCAAGTCCTTTAAATATCTCTCTCTCGATGTAGCACACCATTAAGTCATCAAGCCAACCATTGGACATCTTGCTGCGCAAATCAGTCTTGATGATCTTCATTGCTGAGAAGGCCCTTTCAACCGATGCCGTTGCCACCGGTAGAAGCAACCCCAACTCAATAAGGCGATAAACCGGAGGGAACATAATATTTCTTTCAAGTTCAAACATTTTCTTGGCTAGGCTTGCAAGATCATAACAAACTCTAAAGTCATCATGTCTTCTCATGTGGTTGATGAACAACTGGAGCTCGGTTTTCATACGCTTACGGTCATCATTGGAGAAATCTGCATCATAGATGTCTGTAAGCTTAGCAACTTTGTCCAAATCAAACTTGGAAAATGAGTCTCTTGGGTCAAGACAAGCAAATCCACATAGCAGTTCTGAAGCCATGTCATTAAAGCGATGATCCAGCTCTGTGGTGATAGCATCTATCGCTGCATAGAAGGTATCAACACGAAAAATGTTCTTGAGTAACATTATTTCTCCCTCCTTTTCTTGATCGGCCGAATCTCGGTACAGCTTCATCCATATTTGGAACCGGAATATCATTAACATTACAAAAGATCTTGACATCTTCAAAGAGTGGATCCCAACCATGGTTCCTCAAGTTGGCCAAGGAAGACCTCACATCTGTAACCAAAGACATGGCTTGAACAATATTCTGATCCTTCCGTTGGAGGAGAAGTGACAACTGATTTGTAATGCGAAGGATTTGCAACATCAACTTCATGATGAACACAAAGCTAAAAGACTCCATTATCTGCACCAAACCTCCTGCCCTAGATGGATTATGCTCATCCTCATGCACAATAGCTAACACTTGTATAACTGCATCCCACATCGATTCTATACGAACTAGTGTTTTATAATGAGAGCCCCATCTTGTATCTCCTGGTCTAGCCAATGATGTTTCTTGGTTTTTCCCTCTTCCTGAGAAAATTTCTCCACTCTCTAACTTAGCCAACAGATTTATGCGTTGCTTATCAAGCAATATATCCTTCCTCTTGCAAGACGAACCAGCGGCGTTCACAATCAAGGCCACATATTCAAAGAAATCCTCAATGGAAGAACAACATCTTGAGACAGCAACAACTACTAGCTGCAATCGGTGGGCGAAACAATGCATATAGAAAGCATATGGGTTTTCATCTCGGACAAGTTTTTGAACACTATTGAATTCTCCCCTCATATTAGATGCTCCATCATACCCTTGCCCTCGTAAATTTGCAATAAGTAGCCCATTCTTACCAAGAACCTCAACCAATGCTTTCTTTAGTGCTTCTGCTGTTGTCTCCTTGACATGCTTGATACCCAAAAATCTTTCAATAACTTCTCCCTTGCTCATATACCTGTAAGGCATAGAAGAAATAATACAATTAGTTAATTAGAAAAAAAGGCGATTACCAGGCAAAAGATGGAACACATAATAAAGTAACCAATGGCTTACCTCACAACCAAGGCCATCTGTTCTTTTACTGATATATCACGAGATTCATCAATAAGAACCGAAAAAAGATTATCCCCTATCTCTTGTTTTATTGCTCTTCGGACCCCATCTGCACAACTTTTGGCAAGTGCTTTTTGAATTGTTGAAGAAATCATTTGTGCATTTCCTGGGCATAGCTCATCAAACGCAATTCTCACTTCCTCCTTTCTTGCTTTGTACCAATCAAGCATCTCTAGAAAATTACCTTTATTTAAGGAAAGGGCAGATTCATTGTGTCCACGAAATGGTTCACCTTGCAATGCAAGAAAACTTACAATCCCCAAAGATGTTTCCAAAGGGGTCTCGTACTTGATTAATGATTCTTTGTTATAGACTGTAACCTTACGCTTCAGACTTGAGATTTGATTTTTAAAATCTTCATATGTTGTCCTTGATTGATTGTGGATACTCCTGGGGCCACCAACATGAAGAGGAAATGCCTTGTATGCATTCTTCCAAGTACTGTAGCCATCTTTGGTGAAGGTAGTATGACCAAATTTTTCATCCACAGGATCTTGTCTAAAAAGAAAACAATAAAAGCAATAGACCGCATTCTTTTCCATGCTATATTCCAACCAAGGATTTTTTTTCATACCATGCTTCACAAAAGGCCCTGTCAAAATGATCACGTTCGTACGTATGACCGACCGGTCGAGTTGGACCCTTTGCCACATAAGCCAATCTAACTTCATCTCTAATGTTGGGATGAAAATTATTAATTGGAATACGAAGCCCGGGATCAGGCTGGATGTGGTCAGGATGCAACTCCTCAATGAACTTGCCTTCTCCCCCGTCTCTAGCTATTGGTTCATTCTCAATATAATTTTCGCCTTCATTCTCTTCCTCTTGAACAGATGCTGAAACTTCAATCCGCACATTCTCTTGATGCGCACGCTCTTCTCGTCGTTCAGCGACTACTTCCAAAGTTGGAGCTGGGCTCGAGGTGCTAGTGCCACTGGCTTTGGCAAAAATACTCTTTAAATCTGTATAAGAGAACACAAGAGAAACTAATTGGAGGTTGGAGCAATACCAATAGAATAATTAAATAAATGTTCAAGCAAGTAACCTGAGTACATACATGACACAATTGAAATGATGCGATCAAGGGGAAGAACCGAAGAAGTACAACTAAATTATACCTTCCATTACATACTTAATCCTCTTCTTCGGCGGCGTCATCTGCAAACCCTGCGGACTCGCCGAGTCGCGGCCGCCACCTTGCTAATCTCGGAGCCTGTGCCGCCTTGCCTGTCGCCGCCTTCGCGCCCACGGTGTCCGGTGGTTGATTGCCGGCTGCCCGCTGCCATGCGTCCGTGCGGCCGTGCCCTAGCCTCTAAAGCGCCGCCGCGCCGCCTCCGTCTTGCGAGAAAGTAGCAATGAACGACTCGTATTCTCGTCTCGTAGAGTCGTAGTCTGCCTAGCAGTCGTGAAAATGTGATCGACCGTCTGTGTCCTTCAGCCCATAGCCCATAGGCACGGCCCGTCATTCAATCGGCAGTAACCAAGCCCAATAGGAGGCACGCGCACGCCCCACTACCTGAAAAATACGCCAGGCTAATACACTAGTATATATACGTATTTGCAGGGCAGCTTAGGTATGGCGTTCGCCAAACCACGCCATATAGCTAGCTTCACCCCTGACTGGTGACATGTTAGCAATGGCGAGAGGTCAATGGCAGGCACCCCTCACCATCGTGCCCGCGCCTGCCTGTTTATGTCAATTTTAGTGCTTATTTGACCCACTCTTTTATACTTTCATTGTTAGTTTTCCATAGCCGATTAGAAAGTAACCACATCATATCACAATTTATCGCCTAAAAGAATACAACAAAGACGAAAACAATTGCTTGCATTTTATTGCGAAATTTTGAACAAGTGATGGATTAGTATTTATGTTTGCTATATATGATGAAAACTATTACATGACATTACGAATTTCGAGTACACTTCAATTCTTTCTACATATTTCATGTTCCCAAAAATGCAAGTATAACTATGAATAATGCTAGCCCATGCAACTGCACGGGTTGAGAGCCAGTTATTCCAAACAGAGCAAGAAATCACGATCTATTTTGTAACATGCAAATACATACATAGTAATTTAAAGCGCAAAAAACTAAATAAACATTTTTAGAATTACAAATGTATGCGCGGACCACTATGCATTGCTAGGTCCCTCCAACGAAAACGAATGGGTACATGGCCATTGAAACAAGCGGACCAGAGAGCACACATACTACACAACAAACGTGGGGCCAGATGAGAACCCAACCAACCGTCACGTGCTTGGCTCCTTAACCTACCCTGCCACGCTGCATGCTACCTACCTACCTCGTGCACCGTAGTATAACATGTACACTAGGCACGTCGTCTATCCATCCACATGCATGAGATGGGTGCTGATAGCAATCTCCGGGTCCTAGACGCCAGCATGGTCAGGCCGTCCAACCTCCACCTCCCGCCGCGCTCGCTCCCACTCACATTCTTTGGCGTCAAATGGCTGCGCCCGCCGCCCGTCCAGCGCCTCTACCTCTACAGCCTCCACCACCACCACCAAGACACTACCCAACTCATTTCCGACCTCAAGGTCTCGCTCTCCAAGGCCCTCACCCTCTTCTACCCGCTCGCCGGCCATGTCCGCCTCACCCCGGGTGCTCCCAGCAGCAACCGCTACGAGCTCTTCTACCAGCCCGGCGACGGTGTCTCCTTCACCGTCGCCAAGTACGACACCGACATCGACGACCTTGCCCAGGACGACCCCGTCCAAGTGGCCAAGCTCGCGCCTCTGGTACCACCGCTGCCAAAAGGCCGTGCCGTTCTCGCCGTGCAGGCCACGGTGCTATCCGGGGGGCAGGGCCTTGCTCTAGGTGTCACTGCATCATACCGCCTGCGACGGTGCCAGCTCCACACACTTCATGGACACCTGGGCTGTGTACTGCGCGGGCGCGGACATGCCGCCACCGCCCATCATTGACCGCACGCTCATCGCCGACCCCAGAGGTCTATACGACATCTACTGCAAAGGACTGCCAAGCGACGACGAGGTCGAGTTCGTGACCAGCAGTGTGTCCTCTCTCCCGGACGACAAGCTCCTCGCCACATTCACGCTGCCTCAGGAGCTCCTGCGCGGCATCAAGGATATGCTTGCCCATGAGGCTGCCAAGCAGGGCGCGCCTTCTGCCAGATGCTCGTCGCTGCTCGCTGCCTTCAGTTTAATGTGGTCATGCTACTGTCGAGCCAAACAGGAACAAAACCAAACAAAAACAACCTACTTCCTCTTTTCTGTGGATCACCGGCCACGGTTGAAGCCGCCCGTCCCTGATAGGTACCTAGGCAACTGCCTTGGTCCGGCAATTGCTACCGCGCGCCATGACGAGATTGCGGCCACCGGCAAGGAAGGCCTCTTCGCGGCATTCATGGCACTCTCTGACGCCCTCCAGGATGAGGTGGGTGAGGGGTCACAGGATAAGTGGGACGGGTGTGTTGAGCGGGTGAAGGAGGCAGTAAAATCTGGTGTGCTCTCTGTCGCTGATTCACCGAGGTTCCGTGTGTACAACCTCAATTTTGGATTCGGGAAGCCAACGAAGGTGAACGTGGTGTCCGTGGCAAAAACCTCCGCGATATCGGTGGAGGAGGCACGCAACAACAGTGGCGGCATCGAGGTGGGGCTCTCATTGCCGACAAGCAGCATGGAGAATTTTCAACGGTGTTTTGCCGATGCCATGCAAGAGCTAGCTGGTCTATAGTTGATGAGAAAAGCCCCTGCTTGGATGGATCAACATGCATGTGTTTCTTTGTTGTAATATGATAGAGTGTACCTTTTGAAGCTTTCATATCTATTTTATATCTATTTATAATGCATGATTTAATAACTTGTTACAACTAGCATACTAGTTATCACAAAGGTCGCTCGTAGGGGCGACACCGGGGCGCCCCAACCCTAGCCACCAAAGGCCGCAACCACCACAACTAGGCCGCCGCCGCCAGCAGCAGTCGGCGGCGGCGGCAAAGGCGGCGCCTCAAAGTAGGTGACGCGTTCCCCTCCAACTCCAAGTCTGTTCAACGCGTGCTTCGCCCCTCCTCGACCCCATCTCTACTGAAGCTCGCCCTTCGCTCGTGTGGGCTGTCAGGTCTTCCCACCGGCGTCCGGCTAGATCTGTGCAGCCCCGCTGCCCGCACGACCCCTAGCCCCCCCCCCCTCCCTCCCCTTCGCCGCATCAATCCATGGTGGTCGTCGTTGGGCCTGCTCCCCATGGTCAATTCGTGTCATGTACAAGGACGAGGTCAAAGTTGTGCGGTTCGCTAGCGGCGGCATGTGCGGGCATGGGCTACTGCGCTAGGACCTGCTGGAGGGAGAGGGAGGTGGGCAGTGTGATGGAGACCGTGCCGGAGCTGCGTATGGGGTGGTTTGATCTTGATCATGCGCAGTGCTTGATCTGGACGTCCCATCGGAGCTGGTGCCGGATGGGCCATTCTCGCTGTGTCAGTAGTGATAGGAGGCGGCTGGGTTGTCTGCTCCTATGCAGTTCCGGCGTGAGATGTCGGCGCCACCATGGCCTTGGCAGCAGATCTAGCGGCTCCATAATCTACGCCACTCCAGTCTGCGACGGCGGACCTTCTGCGGATTGTGGTGTCCATCGAAAGGTCTTTGTGAGGGTTCTCACCCTAGATCCCATGGTTGTCTTCGGCGTGGAGTTGCAAATTACGGGCGACGATTTGAGGCAAACGATGGTTGTGCAGTGATAACGGTCGCACATTGCATGTAGCTGTTGGGGTCATGGGAAAGAGGTGGCGACAACACATAAGTGACGTTGATGGCGGTGCTATTCAAGTACCGGGTCTCGAGCTCCGGAGTGAAAGCCTAGGCATGTCGTCTATTTCAGTTATACCTACCAATGGCAAGGTTTTTACGTCGTTACCATGTTGAAGGCATTGCTCGGATATGTTCGGACTGGTTCTTCAGGGTGAAGACCTAGATTCTGGCCTTTGATTGTTGGGTCCGGTGACGGCGGCGATTGAGCGCCACTACCTTCTTGAAGGTGTTGCTGTTGAAGAGTGCCGTCGCCTGTGTGGTGTCATGAGATGGTCGGTACGGATATGGTCTTTGTTGTAGTTTGCTGATCACGGGTTTGATCGCTTTGGGGTTCTTTTTCTTCTTTTCCTTGCCCATGGCTTTGGTCTTGCACAGTGGCGGAGCTATGTGGAGCCCTGCAGGGGCCGTGGCCCCCCCATCATTGCTAAAAGCTATGAAGAAACTTTTTAAGAGTCTGCTTAGATTAGAAAAGTTAGAGCCTTTGGCCCCCCTAAACATGCATAATTTGTGTTTGGCCCCCCCTGAAGATCTTGTCTAGCTCCGCCACTGGTCTTGCATGATATTGCTATTCACTGGTGAGTTTTTGCGTGCTTGTGTTGGTGTTGGTTGTGTGCATCTTAGCTATGAAGAGGCCGGGTGTGTGCTTATTATGCTTATATCTCTTGATGTTTCATCTGAAGTCAATAAAATTCACCCTTTATCGAAAAACTAGTTATCACACATGACATAAAGCAGAATTTCGTATTTCATGTGGCTTATAATTTCACTAGAAATACAGTTATATGTTTCAAAAAATGGAGGAGAAAGGTAGATACGCTTAGATGTGCAATTTCGTGAGAATATGTGCTCACTATGATATGGGGATATATTCAAAATTAAATTATTGTAGACACTTAGCTAGAGTTCATGTTACATAGCATAACATTTTCTTTGAATGACTTGCCTGACGCTGCTAACTTGGGCTTTTAGTAGTAAAGTAAACTTTACTACCAAATCCGTCTATGAGTGGCTAGAAATAGATATGTCGGGTCTCGATTATAAGTTGGTGTGGAAAGCTAAAGTACAATTGAAAGCTAAAGGACAATATGCTGACCATTTGTTCTCCAATCGTACGTTTGCGCGCTCGGTATGGGGGACACTTGGTTTGGCTTCAGGATCATCTTAGGGTGTGCCCAGCCTTTGTACAAAGAACTACCACAACAATGGTTGATGAATAAATCCCCCCCCCCCCTCCCGCGCGGACAGTCAGC